GATGGGGTCTTGCTCTTGCTTAGGCTGGTCTTGAATCCTTGAATCTGTGAGCTCAAGTGATCTGCCCACCTGAGCCTTCCTGAGTGCTAGGATTACAGGTGTGAGCCACTGCACCCAGCCTGCCGCCACTTTTGTTATCATTTGTATTATTTTCTTTCTTTCTTTTTTTTGTTCCAGTAAAACTTTATTTATAAAAAGGTGATTAGGTAGAATTTGGTCCATGGTTCAGACCCACAGTTTATTGACCCTTGGTCTATCGTCATGCCTGCCAGTTTGGTGTCTTTTCAAAACTTTTTCTCATCTCTGATCCTTTCTTCATTGAACACTTAGCTCCACAGAATTGAATGCTCTTGTATGGCTTCCTTATTCCTTCTGCATTTTCCGGTACCTTCCCTAGTAACGTTCTCTAGTCAGGGAACATTTTTAACAATTATTGCAAGAGTATCTCCATAGGTAAGGCCACAATGGAAGTGGACAGTTAACTGAAATATGTCATTTTGAAATCCATGGTGTTAATGGTGATTTTTCTTTCTTTCTTATAACAACCTCATAGTGTTAGTACTATTGTCACTGTTTTACATTTCAAGAAAGTGAGGCACAGAGTTAAGTAAATTATTCTAGGTTATACTGTTAGTAAGCTGGGGAACAGAATTCAAACCCAGGCAGTCTCGTACCAGAGGTCATGCTAAACCACTTTGTAGTACTGTCCTTCAGAGGCAGAGTTCCCCCTTTCAGACTTCAGAGTCTAGTTTTTCCCACTTTAGCCTACAGCAGAGGGAGATTAATCTGGAGGGCTTTGACTATCAACAATGGCCCTCCGTTGTGTTGACTTTTCCAGGTTGAGGGCAAGAACTCTATCATCCTGACCTTCAGACAACTGATAGCAGAAGAAGGGCCTTGGGGCCTCATGAAGGGCCTGTCGGCTAGAATCATCTCAGCCACACCTTCTACCATTGTCATTGTGGTGGGCTATGAGAGCCTCAAGAAACTCAGCCTCCGACCTGAGCTGGTGGACTCAAGACATTGGTAACCAGTGATGGGGAGAGAAACCTGTTCTTTTCCACACTACTCTGGGTTGGAGGCAGAATGGGGAGGATAGTACCTTCTCCCCGTGCCCCCACTGCATACTGAGCCCTGCCCTGGGTCAGGTGGCCTATCTGGGACAGCGATGGAAACTGAACTGCTCTTGCTGAAGAGGATCCATGCCTGGATTCCTTGCCCCCACTATTTTTAATTCTCCTGCTGAGCTGGGCACCTTCCCTCAGTCCCTGTTTTCCATCCTGCCCTAAGGAACCCACCCTGTTTACCCTTCTGGTTCACTTGTTCCGTCTGTGTCCCCGAGACTCCGAGAAGAGCTGTACATAGAACCTGCTTTCCTGCCACTGGTTCTTCACTTGGGCTTTGGGCCTAGGCTCCAAGCAGCTGCTGTAAGCCCTCTCCCTCTTCATCTCTTAGGTTTGCTTATTATTTGGGGACTGAGCTGCCCACCAGACCACTCTGCTTTGCCCTGTCACATGGGGCTAAGGTGCCAGGTACTTTTGCACAGGGAGCAGGAGCAGCAAAAACTCTGGTTTTTCAGAGCACTTATCTTCTCTTTGGAGGAGTTAATAGATTGGGGAGAAATGTGGGTACTTTATTTTGTGTATTTTTTTTTTTTAAATAACTGTGAACTAGGCTGGCTAGTGATTTAGTCCTGCTAAAGCACTGATCCTGCTGACAGAGCCTGCCTTGTTCTCAGACTGGGGGGAAAATGTAGTCTAGCTTTTTTCCCAATCCTCCTTCCCTTTCCTTTCAGTTTTCCCTTCAGTCCCAGCCACCCTAAGACAATATAAGCTATGGGCTTCCCCTGGTCCAGAAACTACGGTGGTGGGCACAGTCCTAAGCAGATCAGACGGTCTGAGGTATACTGGACTTGGAGCACTACCCTGAAAAGTCAGACTGAGAAAGTACGTGATTTGAAAGGTGACAGGAAGGTATGTGTTCCCCACGCCAGCTGAGCCAAGCCTAGGAGCAGGAAGTGGAGGTTCTCAGCCCCAGACAGCCATGTACACACCCCAGTCACTCAGACTCATGGCAGCAAGTGTTATCTCACCAAGGGAATCTCTGAGATGTGGAACTGTGTTTTTCTTCTCTCTGGCTGTGAAGTCATCCCAGTCATGATTCTCTGTGAGGGATGCTGGAGGGAGAATAAAGAGCAGTTCAGGAAGTCACCCATACCAGGAACCACTGCATTTACCAGCCTGATACTGCCAAGATTATCTGCTGAAGCTCTCCTTCCCTACCCTGCCCTCCACCCAGCCTGTGCTACAGGTGGACAGGTGTGGCATCGAAAGAGAAGGCTCCTTAAACCCTGCATTCCTTCCTAGGACATTTGGCCTGGATGACCCTCCCTTTTTTTTTTTTTAATTCAGAGACAGTCTCACTTTGTCGCCCTGGGTAGAGTGCTGTGGCATCACAGCTCACAGCAACCTCCAACTCTTGGGCTTAGGTGATTCTCTTGCCTCAGCCTCTCGAGTAGCTGGGACTACAGGCACCTGCCATGATGCCTGGCTTTTTTTGTTGTTGCAGTTTGGTTCAAACCCAGTGGTGTGTTTGAACCTGCCACCTTCCGTATATGGGGCCGGTGCCCTACTCACTGAGCCACAGGCACCACCCAACCCTCCTTTATTGGTCCCACACCCTGGGAAAGACCATGGTGCCAATTTGAAAGGTGCTAGCTACCTGAAGCCTTGGTATTTCTCACAGCTGCTGCACATCTTTTTCCAACCTGGCCAGAACAGATTCTGAAATCCTAATTTTTTCTTTTTTCTTTTTTAGAGACAGAGTCTCACTTTATTGCCCTTGGTAGAGTGCTGTGGTGTCACAGCTCACAGCAACCTCCAGCTCTTGGGCTTAGGCGATTCTCTTGCCTCAGCCTCTG